AGGTTCTGCAGTGGCGGATCCAGGGGGATTCAAAGGGTTCCACGGAATCCCCCTTGAAGGTTTGATCTTTTAGGTAATAGAAATATGTCTTATATAAATTTTGCTTAAAAGTATCCACAAGGATAATGTTGAACACGAAATGATAAATATTTGCTGTTATAATGATGTTTAATTTACCTTTAAGTTCCGTTACTATATAGTAAATTAGGTGATTAGAGCCATTTTTTTTGTCACACATCGACTAAACAAAAGAGAATTATACACAGTTTAAGAAACGGAACCCCCTTTTGAAAAATCCTGGATCCGCCACTAGACCTGGATCCAAAGCCTAAACTTTCGTGAATTCCGAATTCCGGATTCCCTAACATGGGGCGAGGGTCCAAATTATTCATGGTTCCAACTCAGACAACAGTGAGCAAATAACCGTAGCAGGCGTTTTCCAGTAGAATTATAATGTTGTCCCACCAAACAGTCAACAAACATTACTTTCAAGGGAACTAGTTTGAGTTTTTACAGGAAAAGTAAAATCTAAAAATTCGACAAATATCATTCCTGTGATACAAATTTCTAATTTTGATTTGAGTTAAATCTATAAGCTTGAGCTACACTGAAACTTATAGCAACTAAAGAGAAATCTTTTTCGTTCTTATTTAGGTTAAAATATGATTTATTTCGTGGCCCAAATTGTTTAGTTATATTCTGAATCCTTTTTCGTGACTACTGCGCTTGTGCAGCAGTCACTATGCACTCACACTAGATATCGCGAACACTTCGTATGAACGACAAGTCGCCGATAGCTCCCGATAATAACCGATAAGGGCATCAAGGGACACCTTGCAGCACCTCGTATATGGGTCCATATGGTGTCCAATGTCCGCAAAAATGCTAACTTGGTCAAAATACAAGAATTGTCGAGTGAGCCCACGATCGTCTATTGGATTGCGGTAGAATGTGAAATACKAAAACGCGCATGTCAAATCGTAGTATATCCAAATTGTGAAGCGGACTATTGGGAATGATAAAGATGTATTGCCACAGTGGCAGAACAATGGAAATAGATCCAGAGAGACAAAGGCAGAGCAACTGAGACTCTGGAGGGAAAAAAAGGGTGTGTGGGGGGAATGGGAGGGGAAAGAAAAATTCGGCTGTTTATCAAAACTCCTTTCTATGGTTTCTTCCTCGATACTGTACATATTCCGATTAATAGCTGGATTGAMGTTCGCTACGCCCGCCCCACCATACCAGTTAGTTAACAGGCTCGATATTCTTCATCACGTCGGTTTGCGCAACAAACAATGGGTTAATAGCAGGTTAATTGTTGCATATACGCTTGCATATCATAAAATCATCTTCCGGATTTATGGCCAGTTCGAATAGAGATGATATCCGAAAACTGAGGGTCTGGAAGCGGGGGTCCGGATCCC